ATATTTTCTGGGTCAATCTAGGTAACTTCAACCTATAATTCAAACCTAACAATAATCCTCTAAGATACTAATTCTGTTATCCAACAGACTGATTATCCTTTTCAACTATAACCAATAGTAAATCGATACATATTTATTAAGTGCCTACCATGTTCTAGGCACCGTGCTAAGCACTGGGGTTACAAAAAGAAGCAAAAGACAATTCATCTTGTGCCTTTCCGATATTTATCAGCAGGCCTTCAAGTCATCTAAAAATATCTTTCCAGGCTAAAACACTGAGAATTGAATTAGATAATTCCTAATGTGGATAAATGTAGTCTTACATTTGAGTTCAGAAAATTAATATCACAAGTATAAAATTTTTCCAAGTGTGAAGAAAATTTATGTTAATTTTTTTTTTACCAGAATAGAGCTAAAGACAGAGCCCTATGGTCCTCCACTGCAAACATTTTCTTTTTGAAAATCAAATATATTAGGTCCTTGGAATTCCTCTGGTCTGCTAGGCTGACAATTCTTTCAAAAGAATAAATGAATTTGACTTGTCCTTGTTAAGTGCATTCTCATTCAAAGAAATCACATTTCATTTTGTACAACTTCACAAAGTTCTGTAGGATTTTGACCAGAATAGAAGCCAAGCTCATTAGCCTCTACCTCCTTTTTCTGTCAACTGTTTCTGACTTCCCATCCACCCCAAGCAGTGGTGTTCCCTTACTTTTCCTCTTTTAAATAGCCCTTCTTTATTGCCATTAGCATTTATCACAGACTTCAGTTTATTGGACTTTATCTCTCCTGATACCATTCTACCACTCTTTTTTATTTGTCCAAAATTGCCTTCCTTCACACACTCCATCTAGATTGATCAACCAGCTCCTTTCCCTTTACCCCTTCTCTTAATCTGAACCACCCAAAATCTCAGCCAGTTTGAAGGAAGACCTCCCATGACCAAAGGCACTATCTTCCTTTGCCTCTCCTTTATCTCCTCAGCTGACTTTTGATCAGCTAGTCCCACTAGGATCCCCATCGACACTTCATCTGAGCTGATCAGGTGGGACCCCCTTCATCCTTCCCTTCCCTTTAGATGTTCCCCTAGTGCCCTGGGTGGCCAGACTGCTTAACTGCTTATCCTATTTGGATGAAATGTGAATCATCAACTCTCTTCCTTCTAGACAGATGGAGGACTGACTACCAGGCTTTGCTGTTAACCCTGCTACTACATCCCATTGTCCTATAGGCATTACCATTTGCCCTATCTCATCTCTCCAAACCCCCAGATGCTATCATGTGACCTGCTGATGCACTTTCTAAGGGGCTTTGCTGTCAGCCTTTCCATAGCACTTTTAAGAACATCCCTGCCTTTCCATCCTTCTACATCTGAACTTTTTTTTTTGTATTTGTAATATATTCTTCTGATGAAAATGATAATCACTGAGATTTTCTTTTCTTTTTAGAAAGAAGATCTTGTATTTCTACAATGCTTTAAGGTCTACAAAGCATTTTCCATATGTCCTGTGTTTCTGAGTCAGTTAACATTTATTTATTTATATGTTGGTTTGTTTGTTGTTTCCTCCAATTAAAGCATGATCTCTTTGAAATCAGCAAGTCTCACTTTTTATTTTTGCATCTGCAGTGCTTGTCCCAGTTTTGGGCATATAAATGCTTTTTCATTCATCCATTCAGTTATTCACTTCCACCTCTTCTTATATATGTACCTTTAAAAATCTAGATTCTTTAATGAGCATTTCATGGAACCACTTTAGTTCTTTTTTTATATATCCTTCGTTTCCTTTCTCACAAACATAAATTATTACTGTCGCCAGAATTTCATTCTAGTGAGTCTCTTACCCCACTTTATACAAATTCCCTTTTCGAGTATCAGCCATGGGATACTGCCTATATCATCTCTGAAATATGTTCTCTATTAAAGTCTAGGGAACATGTCTGACTATGCCTAGTATTTCTTTCCTTGACCATCATATAATGTAAAGTGATATGATCACTACCTCTCAATATTACTTATTGCTTTAAAAAATATTTTGTTATAAGTTTAACTCAAGCATTAATGTGACCAGCCAAAGTTGATGATTATAAGTTGATTAATTGTATTATTGTAATGATTTTCCATCATTATCAGTAAGTCTTGATCAAAATTATTGTTCATTCATTTCTCATTTACTTTAATCTTATATAGTCATAATGAATACTCCATTTTTCTGGGTTTCTTTTTCCAAATTTCTTGTTATACCTCATATTTGCTTATATTAATTACATGACTGCTTTTTTCTCTCTTCCTTTTGAATAAATTTTGCTTTTCCATTAGTATATTCTAGTTGTAAATTTTATTTCATCAAATCTCACTGATACATATACAGGAGGTTACTTTTACTTAATATTGCAATTTACTTAGTATTACATTACCTTTATGTACCATTATATAGCTAGTATCCCCTAGTATTAGACGACTTAAGATATTTTATCCCTTTTTTTGTTTTTTTGCAATTAGATTTTGTGCTGCTACAAAAATTTTTATAAATAGTTTTTTTGCTGTTGTTTTTGATAACACTTTCCAACAATAGAACTCTTGGACCCTGGAATATAGTTATTTGCATCACATTTACTATTTACTAACTGATAGCTCTCCAAAAATATTTTACAACTTTGAGATTCCATTAGCAATTGAGAAATGTGCCTGTTTCTCTGTATTCTTCTAGGTTTAAATTTCTTCTTTCATTTACGTTTGCCTGTTTAGCAGATTTAGAGTTACAGTTTATGTCTTTTTGATTAGTATTAAGGTTGAACATTTTTCAAGTGATTATTATTAATTTGTGTTTTCTCTTTTGAAAATTATCTATTCATTATTTAGGAAATAGATCCTTATTTGGTTAGAACTGCTAAGAAAACTGAAAATCAGTATAGCATAAAGTATACTTAGATCAAAATCTTACATCATATTTTACAATAAATTCCAAATGGATAAATAACCTGAATATTAAAGATTATATTATTTTAAGTATTAGGAAATAGGTAGATCATGTACTTTTCACTTATATAGGTAGGATAATCAAACAAGGGATAGAGGCAATTATAAAAAATAAACTGTATGATGTGTTACATGAATTTGAAAAGCTTTTGTGCAAAGTTAATGTATCTAGGGTAAGAAACAGTGAAATAGTAAAAAAAAAACTTTCTATCAAATTTCTCATATAAAGGTTTAGAATCCCAGATATATGGACTGCTAATAGGAATATACAAGCACAACAGTAATCCTTGCCATATCTTCTAACTTTTAAAGATGTGATCCTTGGCAAAGCAAATTAGGAATTAAACAACAGCTTAATTTTAAGAGAGGCATCCATGTAACTGAAGTCTTCCCTCACAAATATAATCTTCCTTGTTTGCCAACTTTGGGAACCATGTCAAGAACTTATCATCATTCTCCTCTTTGCAAGTTGGTCTCTAATGTATTGTCATCGCCATATTGCTGTTTCTCCCTTCTTTAGTCCTTTTCTAAATGTTTTCTGCCATGCTTGCACATTAGATTTCTAGGTTTCTAGACATATGAATACCTTTTTGATGTATGCTGCTATCCTGCCTTTTCTTATGTAATCTTTTTTCTTTTGAATAAGACTTTACTTTTCCATTAGTGTATGCTAGTCGTGAATTTTATTTCACCAAACCTCAGTGATACATACATAGGAGGTTACTTTTACTTGGTAGTTATACCTACCAAAAGCCCAGAAAGGAACGTTCTAGACACCAAAGTCTTTGACACTGTTAAATGATTAGCAGAAGCAGGTTTGGTTTTAGCAAAAAAGGTTTATCTTCCTTTCCACTGCAGCCTACAGACCACTGTACCTTTCCTTCTTCCCTGTAGCTGAACCTCATAATGTGTATTGCCTCCCTACATTAGAATATGAGCTCTTTGAGAGCAAGGACCAGCTAGCTTTTCTGTTTTTATCTTCCTTTCTTATCCTAAATGCATTTCTGTTTGTATCCCTATTGCTTAACACAATTTTTTTACACATAAGTGTGTTTAATAAATGCTTTTTCATTAGTTAATTCATTCCTAATGTTAAGATCTTTAGCTCATTTATTACCTATACCCTATAAATTAACGTATTGATTTTTAAATACTTCTGCCAGCCAGTTCACCCACTAGCACATTCACTGATCTATCCCCTTCCAAAAAATTTCTCCATAAAAATGTATTTTACTTTATTAAAACAAAAAGGAGGGCTGTAGTCATTGAAACCCTCATTTGGTTGCTGACAAAGTAAGAAAACCCTCTTGATATAGTCTCATTCCCATAAACACCTGAGACTACAGGAGAGCTTGACTCTGATGCCTCATAGCTTGGAGGGGATCCTATGTTCTTTAGGTCATACCATACTGGAAAGACTCTGAGTATAGACCTGGTGATGAACAATGTGCTTGTTATTTGAAGATCAATTTAGCTAAGTTTGGAGAGGCTCATCAGCCAGATGGGCTACAGGGTCATTAATTGTTTGTTCACAGCAACTCACAGACTGCCTACTGGGTCCTGAAGAGTTATAATCCATATAGATTGAAGGAGTAAATGTGGCGACTAAATCACTGATTCAATTCAATATGCACTTATGAAGTGCTTCCTGTTTCAGCACCCATAGCACAAATTTGAATTATTAAAGTAGAATAGAAAATATCCCTTAAAATGCAGTATACTCCATCAAGTGAGTTGTATAATCTATGTTTTTGATTTAGAGAGTTTCATTTAAGCAATAACATGCTGGATTTGGGATCATGGAGTCCCAGGCTCAAGTCCTAACTCATGATACTTAGTAGCTCTGTGATCATAGGCAAGTCACTAACCTTTTTTGAGCCTCAGTTTTCTCATCTGTAAAATGAAGACAATTAGACCTATAGTCCCTACCTCACATGGTTATTGTGAGGTTCAGTGAAATAACATATATAAAGCACTTCATTATAGCACTATGTAAATATCAGTTGTTATTATTATCTCCTAGACCAACAGATGTGACTCTAACTCTGAAAGACCCACATTATCCTGATCATGATCTGGGAACCATTTTGCTGTCTGTAATTCTTACTCCAAAAGAAGGAGAACAGAGGGATGTGGTAAGTTTACACAAGGTCTAGCCAGTAGGTACTCCTTGATCTTTCTTGTTTGAAGTTCATTGTGTGCATTCTTTGGACCAGGGGTTGATAATTAAGAGAGTCTACATATAAAATTCAGTTTTGTTCACTGTTTCTGTGAGTGCCGTGGGCATTGTTGTATTTATTGTGCCCTTTGAACTCTTTTTTTTTCCTATTTCATCCCACCAGATCAGAACCTCTTGTTGTAAACAAGTCAAGGATTTGTATGCATTGTAATTTCAGTTCTGTTTTAGACCTATTAAATTCCAGGTGAGCTAATAATTAATAATGGTCTCAAGAATATATTCATTAGCCAATTAAATTTTTAGAATTTCCTTCTGGAGTGTCCAAGCATGAGAATTTGGACTGGACTGTTGACCAATTATATCACAGAACAAAAAAAAGTGAATTTATAACAGAGTTTCTGCTTTCTGGTTTTTGTTTGCTGAATAATAAGTATGTTTCAGTCACTGGATGTTATCCATTTTTCAGAACTTGCCATCTGGACTTCATTTTGCTGCAGTGTGGAATTGACAAGGGATAGAGAAAAGCAGGCTATTTGGGCACTGGGAGAAATAGTCATTGTTATAGTCAGCTAACATTAATTAAGCACCTACTGTGTGCCAAGTATTGTGCTAAAAATCTATTTTGACCCAAATCATTAGGTCTCACCATTTGGTTTTTTCTGACCCGATTTAATATATATTATTCACCAGAATAAAAGAACTTCAGCATAATTTAATGGGAGCTACATAAAGAAACGTTACTATAGTCCTGTGTTTTAGAACTAGAGCTCATTTTTAAAATAGCATTAGTTTTGGATCCTTCAGGAGTGTGTGTGTGTGTGTGTGTGTGTGTGTGTATTTCTCTCTGTGTGTTTTAAAGAAATGCTTGCTGAAAATGTACATTCACAATATGTCATTAATATCTAATTAGTTTATTAAATCTTTTTTTCTGGAAGGCAGGTGAAATGTTTAACTCAATTCAGATATAAGCTTATGTTTGAAATTTATGGTTTCAACTTATCCTTTCTCTTAATCTCCTTTAATAAACAATTAATAATTATTCATTAAATGCACAGATTTTTTTTGCATTTGCTAAATATATTCCTAGTATCTACATTTAAATTTCTGGCCAAATGATTTCTTCCCTTTTAGCATATTCTATCAAAAAAGTTGTGTGGTAAGAGTTAAAGGGAGTATAACTCTTTCTATATGTGTACAGAAGGGCAGGGAATAAATGAATAATTAGACTGAAAACCATTAATAGAAACTCATATTTTAAAAACCAATCAGTTAATCAACAAGAATCTATTAATTCTCACCATATACCAGCCACTGTGCTATGCTAGGGATACAAAGAAGAGGAGCCCACGTTCTAATGAAGGCGACAATATGCAAACAGCTATGATCATAAAAGACATATATAGTGTAAATGGGAGGTGATTTCAGAGGGAAGGCACTGGAAATTGAGGTGAGGGAGAGGAGACTGAAAGAGAATTTTAGGTTTTGAGCTAAGACTTGAAGGAAGCCAGGAAGGTAAGAGGTAGAGGTGAGGGTGGAAGAGTCACTGGAGTAAATCCTTCAAACAAAAATCATTTCCCTTGGCACAGGCCCAGAACAGTATGGACATTATCATGATCATCATGACCAATCGAAGAATGGGTGGCTTCTTGGATCCTTTTGAATTAACGTGTGTGATGTCATTTTTACATGATTTAATTCACAGTGTGTAGGCAGCACAGAAATTTTAATAAGCCCTATAATTTTTGTTGTCCCAAATCCTTTATGTTGAAGTAGACCCCTCACAATGCCATGTGGGTTCAAATGGCTTCTCCTAAAAGAAAGAAGGATCAGCATATGAAACATCTGACTGTGAGGTGATCTTGCCACAGGCCTCAGAGTTGCACCTGTACATCACCTATCATTTGTTTATTAAAATATTTGTCCTGTTCACTGAAGCAATGTTCTTGGAGAAAAGGGAATTTGAAAAAGAAGACATGACATAAGCACTGATATTTATAGTTTCCAATTGAATAGAAATTTAGCAATGTTAACCATTGTTATGAAGATTTTAGGAATTTGGGGTATTTCACACAGGTAAATATTTTTTCTTCCTCTAATGACATTTGGAGCATTCAGTCAATATGAGTTAATGATACCAAGCTTTATTGTGTGTTAATATACATAGTTTTTAAGATCTTGAAAGCTAGAAGTTTTATAATGTGTACAACTTGCCCTTGAATTATCAAGAGCATAAATTTCTTTGTGTTCAACATTACTTTCTATTAAAATTACCTGTTGCTTTTGGATATTGCCTGGTCTCCTATATTTTACATCTACCTTTTTATTGGAATGAGCATATTTTTTCAAGATATCCAGTTAATTATGTTCAGTGTGAAAATTTGATCTTCTATCACCTTTTTACAAAAAGGAAGATTTGTATTCCAAGTCACACAATCAGTCACAGCTATAATGATTCCAAGCCTGGGCCTTGAATGTAAAAATAAGTAATAGTTCTGAATCAGGTAGTGGTAGGTGGTCACAGGCTAAAGAGGCATCAAGCAATGGGACTGTGATTCTCAACACTATTTTAGCTCAGGTCATTTTCCTATAAGCCCTAAAATTTCAATATCTGCCCAAATTCAAAATAAAAGCAACAACAAAAATATAATAATAATAATAATAATAATGTAGTGCTTGGGAACTAATCATCTGGAACTAACTTGGTAGGCTACTGGGTGGAACTGACTAGAGAAGAAAAATTGAGGTTTCAGAAAATATGCTAATTCTCATAGACTGTCTCTTCTGAATCCTAGATTGCCATTTAGTACCATTGTGACCTTAGGCAAGTCACTTAACATCTCTAGGTCTCAATTTCCTCATCTGCAAAATGACCCCTTCCAGCCCTAGATTTATGAACTATGAACTCCATTCTCTTTTGACACTTCCCTTTTCTCTTCTTCCTTTTTTCTTGCATTTTCTTGGGTCACTCTCATATGCCTTAAATACACTTGCCTTAGGTTTGGAGTAGATTCCTGGAAGGGATTTTCCCTTTTCCTATTCACTTATTGACTAGCTCCTCCAAGACCCTGACAGAGTAGAATTGCTAGTTACTAGCTTTTCTGAAATATTGTCTTACTTTAAATTTTACTTTGGTTCTCACCCACCATAGATAGATAGATAGGTAGATAGATAGATAGATAGATAGATAGATAGATAGATAGATAGATAGATAGATAGACAGACAGACAGACAGACAGACAGACAGACAGACAGACAGACAGACAGATAGATAGATAGATAGATAGATAGATAGATAGATAGATAGATAGATAATCCTGATAATTACAAGAAAAGAGCTTGCCTGAGGGCCAAGCATGGAGAATTTTTTCAATTCAATAATTCAATTCAATGAACATTTATTAAAGACATACTATTTGCTGGGCACTGTGCTAAGTGCTGGAGAATACAAATAAGAAAAAGAAAGACAGCCTGATCTCAAGGAGCACATAATCTAATGGGGAAAGACTCTGGAAATCTTGGGGGATAGGGGAGCACCAGGGATCATCTTGTTCCTTGGAGTTCAGACCAAACAGAGCTGTAGATGGACAGTAGAGTGAGCTGAAAAGTCTAGGTGCTGCCCTCTAGAAGGGATGTTTGCTGATGGTTTCATCTTTTGCTTCTGGATGGTGATCATGCTGACCATTTTCTTTCAGTTGCTATGGCTCTTAACCTGAAGCAGTCCATAAGGTAAAGACTATAAACAAAAGCAGAACTTTTAGGGAAGTGGAGAATAGGATATGAAAGTAAAGAATGGAAATACTTATTGACCTTTGTCTTAAAGAAAACACCAAGCTGATGGGGAAGCACTGGAAGAAGCTATGATACAGGCTGAGCAGGGCAGTCATCGTGCTGAGAGCCTTCCTTTAGATTTCTGACATTTCATAGATACAAGTGGAGCATACATGCTGCAGAGGTCATTCTTCACTCGTGCTCATGGTCTGCTTCCTTTTCTGGTCATACAGCTCCCCCAGGGATATTCTTTATCATCTTCTCGTATGAAATTCTTTATTAATAAACCGTTTTGCCAACTTGTTGATGCCCACTATGGACCTTTCCATTTTCTCCAAGGAAAATCATTTATTGATGGGCAAATTTTATGGGTTGACCATGCAATGTGTACCATGATCTGGGCAGTAAGCAGTCTTCATCTATGAGTCTTCCAATTAAGAGGTTCTGCAAGATTCTGGGGCTTGATGTATTCACCACAGTGTTATCTTCAAACAGGAACATCTGGAGGACTTCACAATTGATAGAGAATCTATCTTTAAATCAGAAAATAAGCACATGATTTCCTGTCTTTTGCCTAATTTGATATTAATAGTCAGAGGGTCATTAACTAAAGATAATTCTGTTATGTCTTTCAAAGAATCTTTTATGATTTTGACATGAATGAGACTTTGATGGAAGAGAGTCTTTAGGGTGACATTTTGCTCTACTGAATCAAATTGTTTTTTAATGTACTCAACAAACAGTATGGACAGTAGGATCTTGTCTTTAAAATTTTCAATTAATTTTGTCATTGTAACAATATGGTCTGCTATATAGTATAGTTTTCAAAAGCCTGACTATTTTTCTTATCATATTCTTTATGCATAGATCATTCTCATGAAATTATGTAGAAATGGAAATTTTGACATTAATCAATCTTTATTTTAGGCATGTGGATTAATGATTATTAATGGTCTCTCAATTATATAAGTAAGTTTCTATTCTAAATGGATGTTACCCCAGCTGCCATATATCTCCACTTTAAAAGAATGAGTATTTCTTGGTTGAGACAGTTTCTGGGCTCTTCATTGTTTAAATGGCAATAGTTTGTGTTAAATAAGACCTGTCCTTTTATCCATTTCATTTTTCAGTATCAACCACTAATGTAAATAAGTCAGGTGGAAATTGTGTCAATTACATGCAATTTCTTCCTATTTTAATTCTTTTTCTAGTTTGGTATTAATTTTGCTTTTTGCTCTAGTATGTTAGTGGTCTGAATAAACAGATGGCTGATTTAGAAATGGTTGCCGCACCAGTAGTCAGTAATTCTTTCTCTCTGCTTAAAGTATAATTTTCTTTTTTGTGTGTGTATTTTTAGTGTCTAGTATATCCTACCTATTCTCTTGAAGAGGGTACTTATCATATATAGACATAAAAGTTTCTATGTAGCTTATAATCCTTTAAATATTCTCATATCTTACTTCTGAGATATATATTCAAGCTTTTTTTTTAGCATCATTCCATCATGCTCACGATTGAAGTTACCAAAAAATAAAGTGTATGTTGATTTAATTTAGAAGCTTTTATCAAGTTATTGATAGAATTTCTCTATCTTCTCAAGTTCTGATACTCATGCCCTAATTATTTTCATGGGGGTCTTTCTATGAATGCTGAGCACTGCCATATATACATATATGTTATGTGTATATATAACATATATATACCTGCATACATATACACACGTGTGTGTTTACTTTTGTACCTGTTTTTAAATCTTTCTTATTTTACATATATTAAAATAGAGGGAGAGGCAGCATGGCTTAGAGTTTTTGAATTAGAGTCTAGAAGACCTACGTTCAAATCCTGTAATCTAACACAAGCCACATGACTGTGAGCAAGTCATTTAATCTATCTGAGTCTCAGGGAGCTCTTTCCTTTATATTATGAAGAATTCACAATCTAGTTTGCACAGTGATATCATAGATATTTTATATACAGAGATATTGAAAGTGGAGAAAATAAAAGATAAGTATGAAGAACTTTTAACCAGTAATTAAATATTCTATTCAATATTTTAATAAAGGAAAATTGTGAACAAAAAAAAGACGGATTAGAAGAACAAAGTAGTTACCATAATAAAGCAATAAAATCTCTAAGAAATCTTATGAGTTTTAGTGGTATAGTTAATGTTGGATGTTTTCTCCTTGTGTGAACTGGCATTTGGAGAAATCAATAAAAATTAAGGATTTCAAAAAATTAACAGCCGATTAAATACATTTTTAAAGATCTCAAAATACAGTTTTCAATAAACATCGTGAAACGTAGTATCAATAAAGGCAAAAATGTTTCATGAGTTTCGTGTTTAAAACATGACTGAGTTGAAAACACAGTTGAGTCTTTAAAAGAAAAAAAGGTGTATAAATAAAATTGTTTTGATTTTTTCCCTTTTGCTGCTTTGTCAATGAGTTAAAATTTGTCTAGAGCATGCTAACAAGTTGCATGGCGTGTATCTTATTTCTCTTCTCATAGCATGAAGCTTTTTTAGATTTGTAGTCTGTGTTCTATATAAAAATGTTTCCTGTTCTTTTACAGTTTTGTCTTATTGTGCATGCATGAGTTCTTTCTGACTCTTTTTCTAGCAGATTCCAATGCACAGATTTCATCATTGGAGTCTTTATGAAATAAAAGTGAGTTCATTTGTGTTGCATGCTTTCTTAGATATCCTAGAAATACAAAATTGCTTAGTTGGCATTAAAAGATGCAGAATCCTGGGAAATATATGAATTGATCCTTGATATACTCATTAAGTATATTTTAAAACAGGATTTTTTCTCTGATGTAGTTTATTTTCAACATGCTGTTCAGAATGTTTCTGTATTCAGCATTTCAAAAAATACCCCACTGAAAAATTTGATAGGTAAATACTTTGTAAAACATGTATTCTTTCTTCAGTAGTAGCTTTATGATGTTTAACATAATCTGTGATAGTTATGTAATTGCCTAAAGGCAAATAAAGATTGAAAGTGAAGAATGGATATGGGTTGTGGAATCTTTTACAAATGCAATCATTTCTCACAGCTCATCTATCACAGACCATATTTTATACTGTTTATTTCCTTTTATTGTCTTTCAAGAAATTTGAGCTACTGATCATTAGTATGAGAGATTTAAATTTATATTACAGCAGCTTTTGATGCTAACAATGCATGCCCAAGTGCACTTATGTGTTTTTACAGCTGAAGTAAAGTTCATGGTGCAAAAAAAGGAGTGGGGAACTTTTAAGATGTAGGTCTCATTTAGCTAAAGAACACCTAAAGTATCTGCCTTTCTTGCCTTCCATTGCTACCACTGAACACTGCTCATGGACAGATAAAAAAGATAGATACACAGTTTACCCAGACTCACATGGAAAGAAACAAGCTACATCTTAATTTTCCTCTAATGGGGACTATTCACTCAAAAATTGGAATTCCTTGCCTTTGAAAGTCAAATAATATCATTCTATAACAAATTTTGAAAATGATAAATTATGAAAGTAGGTTCCTTCACAATTGATAGTACATGGAAAATGTACTTTATATATATGCATAATATTATATATATATATATGTATAATATTATATATGTATATATACATTGTACATGTCTACATCAATCAGTCAATTTGTAAGCATTTATTAAATACCTGTTATGTACCAGAGACTGTACTAGGAGCTGAAGATATACAGACAAAAATGAAACAATCTCTGCTGTCAAATAGCATTGGATTGTTGGGGGAAAAAAAACCAAGTTTATATATAGGTATATGCAGAATAAGTATATACACAACAAATGCAAGGTAATTAGGGAGAAGTACCAGTAATTTAAGGGAATCATAAAAGGCTTCATATAGAATCTGGCTTTTTCACTGTCTTGAGAAATTCTATGAGGCAGAGATAAGGAAAGATTGCATTCCAAGCATATAGAATGGACAGTACAAAGGCCAGAAAAAGGAGATAGAATGTAGTGTGTAAGGAACAGAGAGAAGGCCAGTTTGTTGAAACCATAGAGTATGAGAAAAGTCATGACGTAATGAAACTGGCAATGTAGGTGGGGGGCCAGCTTGTGAAGGGTTTTAAACATCAGAGAAGCTTGGTTCAGCCTAACAGCAATAGGGAGTCACTGCAGTTTATTGAGTTAGGTAAGTTGTTAAAATCAGTTATCTGAAATAAAAAGGAAACTGAGGACAAAGTTACTGAGCCATCTGTAATTTAATCTGCAAAGCTAGCATTTGCATTTTGAACCAGATCACCGGACACCTCAGAGGTCAGAGACCAGGAGTAATTTACAGAGATGATTTTTATAATAAAAAAGAGGAATTTGATGAATTACAGAAACTTGAACATAATTCTATTAAACAATAGCTTTTCCCAGCCTTTCCTAATCTTATGCCAGAAGTCTTTTCCTGCAGGTGGTATTTTTTATAACCAGGAAATATACTGGGAAAGAGGAACTTGTGGTCGGTGGTTAGCAGACACACACCCCACCTCACACACAAAAACCACACCCCCACCCATCTTACTTTGGAATATTCCATTTCTCAGCTTAGACTTTAGTTTAAGAAAAAAAAGAGCTTATCCACTAAGATTAGAAAAAATAACCTCTGGCTAACCTTTCTCCAGCTGCCTCTGGTCAGCCTCCTTTTCTGCTATAAATGGAAATTTAGCCTTTTGAAAAACCTTATAATCTTATGATTGTTTTGTTCTTCTAAATTATCTGCTACTAAATGTAAAATCTTCTCAATCTGTTCACTAAATCTATAGGCAGCCTAGACTTAAGAGACTATGCTAGTCTGGCTTATTTTAGGGCTAGCTTTTCCTAAAGAGGGGAGTTTAGTCCTATAATCAAACTAAAAATAAATAAAAGTAATCAAAAATAGCGTATTTCTTTTTCAATGTAATACAGTTACTTCTGCACTTAAAGAAAATCACTTTGGCATTTCTATGGAAATGGACTGGAGTGAGGAGAAACTTGAGGAAGAGAGATTAATTGAGAAAGTCCTTGCAATAGTTCAGGAGGTGAGTGATGACAACCTGAATAAAGATTATGGTTGTATGAGTAGAGAGAAGGGTTTAGATGAAAGAGATATTGTGGAGGCAGAAACAACAAACAAGACTGTGAAGGAGTTACCAGAGAGTAGGAGGAAAAGAGAGAAAGAGTAGTTTCATCAAAACTTAGAGAAGGGAGATAAAAGTATTCAGTTCAGGAGGAGAAGGTGGTCAATGGGGTCAATTGCAATAGAAGTTGAGAAGTATGGGGGCTGAGAAATCAGATTTGTCAATTTGATGCATTGTCCATTTGACTCCTTGGTAACTTTGGAAAAGGTAGTTCCATTTGAGTCAGAAGCTATATTTCAAAGGGTTAAGGAATTGGTGAGAGAAGAAGTGTAGATACAAGGATTGTAGACAGCTTTTTCTAGAAATTTGGTTGAGAAAAAGAGGAGAGATTTAGAATGATAGTTTGAGGGAACAGTAGGTACTAGGCTTTTAAGGATGGGGAGGTCAAGGCATGTTTGAGTACAGTAGGAAAGGAACATTTTTATGCTTTAAGTTTTGCAAGGTACTTTACATACAATATCTATCTGAATTATTACAATCATTCTGTGAGAAGATGAATGAAGAAGATTAGGGCAGCAACAGAATCACAGAATGTCTGAGGTAGATGGAGGTAAAGAATAGTCTGGGATGTCCAGATAGTGTTAGCTGAATTTGTACTCATTCACCAATCAGGACAACTTTTCATAGGAATGAGTGCCAGAGTTGAATAAATTGATTTCCTTAATGTCTCTGTAAGGAGTGCCATTCTAGGTGGGGAAAGGGAGACAGAGAAGGCAGATGGCAAGATGTAAATACTATAGCTATTGTCATCTCCATTTTACAGATGAGGAAATTGAGGGTGAGAGATTTTGAGTGAGTTACCCAGGGTTATACAACTAGTATGAGTAAGTATCTGAGTTGGGATTCCACTACAAGTCTTTTCTGACTTCAAGGCCAGTGTTCTATCTGCTTTCCTTTCTGCAACCTTAGATATACATGCATACATATCATATATAAAATATCACATGTAATATAAAGTATATGTATATAGATAGATACATACATGCACATATGTATATACATTTTATTTGTATGTACACTTTTGGAGGGGAGTGTGTGTATATGTGTGTGTTTAAGTCTTCTGAGTCCATTTCAAAAGATTTTACAACATTTTATACCCTTTGTAAACATATTTCTTTTCCGAGTTTTGATATATTAATAATGGCATTAATAACATATATAATTACTATCTAGGGATATAAAAACTCTCATTAATTTCATTAAACATTTAAGATTGCAAATTTATAAATTGAAACCTTGGCATTGGCCCATGTAAGACCAAAAAGCCTATTGGTACTTTTGTAATTAAACCCTCGTATATTAGCTCCAAAACAGACCAGCTGTTTATTGTGTTCGGTATACCAAATGATTCTCCATCTAGTTTGTATTATATTTCCTTGACTCTTAACCCTCACCTGGATATGGCAAACATTTCCAGAAATACTGTATTATTTCTCTTGCAATATTTACTTCCTTTGTGTAACTTGTCTGTGCACATTAATAGACATTAGATTGGACATTAAAAATAGGATATAGAGAGTTCATTGCTTAAAGATTAAATGCTCCCATTTACCATTAATGCTTTTCTGAAATTCATTAGAAGAACAAAAACCTTGTCTTTGCCTTTGTCATTTACATTTAGACAACAGAAAGATAATTTTGAGATACACAGCCTGGATTGTACAAAGCCAAAGCCATCTTGATGACAGACTTTTTGGTTATAAATCTCTTCCCCTCAGGCTTCAAATACTATTTTGAAACAGAAGTTTTGATAAAACAGTTGGTTAGTAGTAGTAGTAGCAGTAGCAGTAGTAGTAGTAGTTACAAAAACAATAACATAGGTAAAATTAATAGATATCCCTAGAAAACAACCTGTGGTCTGTCATTTAAAGAAACTTTTGCTAGCATGTAGGTAAAGGTTAACTCTAGTTGGGTTGGGTTTGAGGGTGAAGCGGTGAAGGGGAAGTTTGCAGTTTTGAAGTACTTCTGAAGAAGTCTATGCTGAACCCACTTTTATAGAGACACTACAGGCATGTGAATATTCATGTTACCTCCAATTAGTAGAAAAAAAATATCTTTGCTTTGTATGTTGTTGGCTGATCATACAGAAGATGTACTTTTAAAAATTCATGACTTTTTAGCTCAAAATTTTTTCAGAGAAATGAGACTTGTCTTATTTCCAATAGAGTGTCTGGAATTCTTTCAGTAAAAGAATAACCAACCCAAGCTCTCACCAGATAGACTGCTTGAGTGTGAAAAGTGCTTCTAGTTGTGTTCTGTTGTTATTCTTTTTATTTTTGTCTTGTATAGTTGTTGCTGTTGGCAAGTGTTTGTTGTTAGAGAGCTTAGAAAAAAGGTGGAGGGTCCTTTAAGACAGGCTGCCCTATTGTATATCTGAGTAGAAAGGTAATTAAATTGCTTTATTTCATTTGCAGACCATGCTAATGAGGAAGAGTTGGAAAAGATCAAGTAAGGTAATTTTTAGCATGTGGTCTTTCAGCATTCCTTTTTGAAAAGAATTGTCAGCTATTTTACTAAATCTTTCTCATAACCCTGCAAACTCTACCACAGAATTTCATCACTATCAAAAAAAAAAATCACAGCAAACCCCAGCCTCTTTCCCCTTCATACATTTTAACCCAACCATATGAAGCATTTTTAAAAAGAGAAACCACTCTAGTGAGTGAACCCCACCAATATCTCGGACGGGGATCTGCTTTGCCTTCACTAACTTCTTCACATCATCCTGAGCATTTGGTTTCTGTCACACAACAGGGTCTAGAAAATTTCTTTGTCACTGCAGTTGATTAGAAACCAAGTGATAGTCCCATGGGACAGTGCCGATAAAGAAAGAATTTTTCCTTTGTTCCATTTTATTTCATTTCTACTTTGGAAAATAAGAGTAGAGTGCTCCAAACTGGGCTCTGTAGCCCTACCATCCCTTTGGTATATGAGCACATTCTCCTATGGTGAGTAGAATGTTCCAAGTACTTCCTCTTCTCTCTTCCAAAGGATAAAAAAGGACTGTAGCTATTTTATTTTTGACTCATTATATGAAGCCTTAACTAAATAATTAATTATTTCAGTGAGAGTGACGCTATTTGGGTGTCAGTCTTATTTTGTTCTGTGTGGATAACTATCATGAAGAACCTCAGCTATGATGCAAATCGGTCATGAAACAATAGCAAAGGGATTTTGTTTTTACAATATTGTTTGCTCATATTTCTTCTAAAAAGTCAATTACTCATTTAAAAAAATCATGGCAACTTTTTTAGACCCTGGTACATGGCAAGCTCTTTTTTTCTCTTTCTAATTCAATCATGTTTTCTTCTTTTGTTTTTACATTTTATTGTTTCAGTATGTAACTTTTTAAAAATGGTGATAAAAAGAAAATGTTTGTAAAGTTTATGGGTAATTTTTTAAGGTTCATGACATGCATGTAAGTCCTTCCCACAAATGTGCTTTTCCTTGTGAGGCAAATCAAAAGGTAATTTGTGGTACAAAAAGGATTATAAGCAACTTTTAAAATTAGATTTGACTTTTTAATAGATGCATGTAATTTCTATATATTTCATGATAGAAATATTTGGAAAGGAATATCATTGTTGGTATTTGATTATACTTAGAAATTTGTACTTTCTACATCTTTCTGATTAGGTATTTATTTACTCTGATAAGGGGTGTCAGTTTTTTAGTTTATGCAGTTTTATAAAACTTAAGGGCTATTCAGGGAGATGGAAAGTTCTTATTTTTATTTATATTAGGTTCCTCTCTTTGTAGTTACACTTTACTATTGTATAGTGAAACTGTATTACTTTTGTAGTCACTCATTTTTAAAACATGTGAGTAGGCTTTTTTTCCTCTCTGTAGATAATACAGCGTGTCCCAAAAGTCTTATTGCCATTTTAAATGACTTAAAACACAACATTAAGACTTTGGGAATACCCTGCATTATAATAGGCCTTAGTAATAATAAGGCATTTTCATATGTAGAACTCTGTTTTTCCAAACAATTCAGATGTGGCATTAAAGCAGGATATTATACTCCACTTGGCAACAATGAAATTTTCAGTTTTAGTACACGTCACCCCAGATAACAGAGAAATGACACTTCTTTTTATGAACATATTGTGTACGATTTTTTTTTACCATTTTTGATAAGCCAAATCAGAGTATATAAGAAAAATATGTGCTTGTTTTCATCAGAAATAAATAGTTCATCTCTCTCTTACTTGTAAATTGTTCAAGATGTTTTTCATATCTGTATATTGTCAGGTATTTTTTCTACCTTTCCACGAAAGGTATGAGATCTTGTATGTGCAATTGAATGTATACTTAGATTCTTGTATCTAGTACTCAAAATTTTCGGCTTCTTGGTCCAAAAATGCCTTTTTTCATTACTATGTAAGATTTAATGGGAAAATTGAATGATGAGAGAAAAAATAGTTCATTCTTATTTCCAAATTGAAACATAAAATATTATGTTCACCAAAGAAATGCAAACTAATGCAACAAGAATGCCTTAACAATTCTATCATATCTCAAGTATGTAGATGACAGTAATTTCATCTCTAACACTGAACAAGCTAGGGATTCTCTGAAGCTGTGATGAGGAGGGAAAGCTTTACAAATGTGGGAGATAGCCTGTACAAAGGCACAGAGGTGGGAGATAGGTCATGTTTAGTTGGAATACAGAGTGTGTTAGGCAGAGGAATGTGAAATCCAATTGGAAAGATAAGTTGAAACTTGATCATAAAAGGTCTTTAAAGGGCAAAGAGAAGGGTGCCCAGATTTTTCTCCTACAAAGGTTCTTGGGTTCCATGACCTCATTTGAAAAATATTAATTTTGTAAGCTTTACCAGCCTGCTGATGGGGTCCATCACACACACACACACACACACACACACACACACACACACACACACACACACACACACACACATGTTAAGAGTACCTGCTCTGGAGTGTCTTTTTCAGAAAAGCTTGCTCCCCATATAAAGTAAAAACAATAGGTCTTTCAATACTCTGGCTAGGAAACTTTTACATTATTTTCCATTGCTATCTAAATCAGACATAACAGGCATCCATAATTTCCATGAAAGGCTATCAGGTACCGTATAGAATGTCCTTATGGTTTAACATAGATTCACACTGAAAGAGGCATCTAACACAGATTTTGTAGCAAACTAAATTGAAGGTTCTCTGTTACATATAGTTATTGGTAATTGGTCTGAATAGGAAATAGAAGATGAGTGCAGGAGCATTAGGAGAGGTTTCAAAATTAGTGGAATTGTCATGGGAACAGATTTAATAAACATTGTCATCAGACACAAGACAAAGAAATTACTTTTGGAGACATATTTTAGATTTTTAAAAGAAATGGGGTAAGGATAATTTGGATATCTTCCAAGTAAGGACTGTAGAAATATTTAGGAACACTCATTTTTTAAATTATTCTGTGAATCCTTTACCCTAGTTGAAGCCTTGTCACATCTTACCTGGAGTGTTATAGTAGCCTCCTAAACACACTGTATGATTTCTGTAGATGAAATCATCACTGTATGATTCCTGTAGATGGAATCACAGATCTGTGTGTGTGTGTGTGTGTGTGTGTGCTTGTATTCATACACGTGAGTGTCTATGTATATGTTGCATCATTTTTGCCACAGAGATAATGTTTCCATTACAAAGCTTAAAGTTTTAAGTTTAAGATCTTAAAACTTCACTGACACTTTTGGGACAACCCATACCTGCTTAAGATATGATAGAAATTTCTGAGGCAGGTACTTTTTGCATTCGATTTCTTTGCTTAACATATTACTACTATAGGTAACAGTTTGAAAATAAGAACGAACTATGTTTACTTTGTTCTCATTATTGAAAATTACTATTAAATATATAATGGATTAGAATCAATTTGTAATTTCACCACTGTAAAGAGCTCTCACTATTATAGTGAATATGTATCAGAGGTAGCACTTGAACTCAGGACTTCGTGATACTAAAATCAGCTCTCTGTCTACAACACCAGAGCTGCCCCCCACCATCCCACATAGATATTTTAATAGACTTACTTTTTTACATGTTGATTTTCACAAGTAGAATATAGAATAGAATAGAATATAGAAATTTAGGAAAAAATCCTAAAGAACAGAGATTATTTCATTTTTAACTTTGTATTCCCCAGGGCAAACATGGTGCCCTGAACATAGTGTATATTCACTGTTTGTTGAAATGAATTAAAATATTACTCTTCTAGGCCAGAGGGTATATAGCTAGCCGGTTTAAGCCTAAAGAAGATCTCCATCTTGGGCTGAAGAAAATGACTGATAGAATGTTTCTAAATAGTACCATGTTCCTCCCCCCAATCTCCTTCTAATCAGCAAGAAATGGAGAAGCACCATAGCACAATGAAAGGAATAGCGACTCTGAATTCAGAGGACATGAGGTCAAATCCTGCATCTAACTTTGCTTCCTTGGGCACTTTAACTTAACTCCCTGGGCTTCGGTTTACCCTCATATAAAATGAGGCAGATGGGTGGAGTCAGTGGTTTCTGAGGCCCCTTCGAGCCCTATGTTCCTATAAGATCTTTTCTACCAGAGATGAACTCTATACAGTAAAGTCCTGATTTACTGAAAGGTCAGTTTCATGTTTGCTTCTGCCTCTTTATCTATCCAAATCAGGTATGTCTGGTCCAGGCAGTGTTAATAATAAAATGATGAGAGTGTGATTCAATGAAGAAAGTAAGGGGTGGGGTAGGGTAGGGTATAAGTCACAAATGGTAAGATATGTATGTGCATGTGAGTATATATACACATATGGGTATTTATATGCATGTATATAATAAGTGTACACATGCATATAAATATATGAATTATATATAAATATGTATATAAACATAAAGTTATAATTCATATACTATAATAATTTATAATAAATTTATATATAAATATATGAAGCATAGCACATATTCAGTATGTGGGAATTGGCATATTCATGTATACCAAAGCCTGTGCCTATGTGTGTTTGTGTGCATGTGTGTGTGTGTGAGAGACTGAGAGACACACACACACACACACACACTCTCACACTAACCTCCATATCCTGAACAATGGTTTATTTGAAGGTTAGCTTGATGGAATGGAAATTAAATAAAGTCACTAGGTGAATGTCAAGATCCAAGTGAAGAAAAATATGTGCTAACTGTAATATGGTTGCAAGTGAGTATTAAGGTTGTCTTTCTAGTAAAAATGTGTGCTTTGAAGTATAATTTCACTCCAGGGAAAAGGATCTGAGATGTAGAAGTATATTATTTTAGGATCAGCATCTGCTGCTGTGTACAGGAATGTTATACTTACTGGAAAGAAATAAAATATTATACTGGGAGAGAAATATGTCACCTGTAGCTAAATAATCTTCTTTTTAACTGGTACTTATGATACACATGAGATCAGAGTGTGTCTTCCTCCATGT